TGAGCGGTTTTAAACATTTTTTAGAGATTATATACCTGGAAGGTAGTCGGTAAAAAGTTTTATTAAGTGACGGGAGCAATAAGATATTTTTTTAATAAAATAACAAAAATGTTAAAATTTTCAATTGTTTAGTTGCTTAAAAAATTATTTAAATTAAACAAAACTTTCACAAGACCAACCATATTGTAAATCAAAAGCCGTACAAATTTAAGAAGACATATTCTTAGGTGTTTCACTAAAAAGCTAATTTTTCATAAATTATTGAGTGATGCCTAGTTTCAGGCTATTTTTAAAAGTTAAATCCGCGCTCACGTCATCAAAAAGCTTTTTTCGCAAAACATATTTCAGGGCATGGCTGCAGACATTGGGGCAAAAGGCCATGAATTTCTTTTGAGAAATCGGAAGCAGTCGAGCGCAACGTCTGGGACATTTGACGTGGAATGACCCAATGATGTCAGAACGCCGAGCTCTTATTGGCTGATTGAATACTAGTAGGTAGACCTCAAGGCATCTAGCATTGAGGTCTACCCACCATCCCGTCAATCAAAGCCCATCATTGCTCAGCGTCGTTCCGATGTCACCGGAACTCCTGCGCAAAAAGCAGACGGCTTGCCCTCTGCATAGGCGGCGCTGTCTTGTACATGCGAGACGCACTTTGCTGTCGACATGTGTTCTTATGCCAGGATTGTCTCCTCCACCCCGAAGACCTGGCACACAGGCAACTTTCTTTGCCGTGGTTTGCCTCCGTAAAGAAATAATTCCCGTTGTTTTTCAAAAGACAGACAGCCACTATTAGCCCCGAGAAGTTCGCCTGGCGCCCCCTTACGGCGAACCGGGGTGACGTCACGGCGAGGAGAGAATTTTTCCCCGACTCGCCCCGCTCGCCCTGTGGACGCTGTGACGACGCTAGCTGTCGGCGCGCTCGTTTCTATTTAATTTTTTTTGGCGTGCTTTTCGTAGGAAGTGTAAATTTTTATATACGCCTTTATTGAGGTATGGCCTGTAGCTACAGGCGAAACTTCAACGAACATTTTAAGCATGGCTGACAGGCCAGGCAACGCATGAACCGCAGCTGGTATGTGAAAATAAACAAATATGGCCACAATTGCAGGGGCATCACTACAGATTTACATCTCGCACAATAAACGCTGCTGATGGTCCGAATGAATTGGCAGGTTATGTATACTATTTTTTTGTATCTCTGTCTTTAAACAAGATCGCCGCAGCAGAAAAGCTGCACGCTGCTCGAGCAACGTGCTAAATACCGTCTCGGCCATGGGGAGAGAATCACAAGTAAGACAGCCCAAGTGCAGGGGCAAAGCAAAAAAAACAAACAAGGAACATGTATTATATACATTGCTCGCACTTGACCTTTGCTGGATTCGGATAGTATTTCAATGGACTACACGGGTGGTATCTGTGGACTTGTTTATATCAATCCTCAAGTAATATATAACAAACGTAAGTTAAGGTGTCTAGCTCGTTATTAGTCCGTTAAGCCCTAAAATTGAGATTTTACTTAAATCGAATTGTCCTGAAGCTAAAGTACCAGAAGCTTTTCTCACGCAGACTGTCGCCCTTCACAGGTTCCAAATTTTCTGCTACCAGTGCTGCATCTACCACTGGACAGACGTTCGAATGCTTGCTTTTACTCCTGTTTTCCTCTGTTGTCAGAGAGTCCAGTTGCAGGGAGTTTGGAGGCCGAGGAAGCTTTTGGGGACCTGCGGCAGTGACTCTTAAATGGAAATGACAATTCAGACTTAACGGTGTATTTTCCGAATACCAAAGGCTGGAATAAAGAATGTCAGAAAAAAGTATAAACATTCCAAATTACGGCACTATTGCTGTGCATATTTTGGTCAGTTTACTGCATATCATAGAGGCAACTGGGGAAATTCGGCCGTTTTTGCTGCTACCATACAAACTAATTTCCAGTAATTGTGAATCCTCTAAGACATATGCCTGCATACGCGTATAAACTATATAATTAATTCAGGAAGAAGCTACATTCATGTAAAACAACCCTGTTTCATGAGCACTTCAAGGATCATCAGACGCAGGGCCTTTAAAACATCTGCAAACCAGCGCATGCAGAGTGGCAGCGCAGAGTCGGGGTCGCGAGCTAATTTGCCGACCACCGAAAGGCCCATGATATAAAGGCCGCTTCAGATGCCTTGAAAGCGGGATGTAATATCGTCCTAAATCATGAACATGCAAGGAACAGAATTCCAGCGTCTGAAACACTTGCGTCACCGCTTCACCGACCCCTCTCAAGATTGCCTTGCGTCGTGTGGACGGACGGGGAGGTTCATCGGCGTAATTGCCTCCGCCAATAGTTTTCGGGATTTGTAACCCAATTTTAAAGGTAAAAGGGACAAGCAGGCTTATAAAATGTACAGAAGCACGTTAATATCGGCCTAACTCAACGTCTTGTACACGGGGTAAACGAAGTCCGGCTCCTCGAAGAGCTTGCGGCACACAACGCCAAACCAGGAAACCGGTGCTGGGAAGCGACCCGATGCGAGATCGCGGAGCGGGGTACTCGGCCTGACGTCACGGTACACCTCACCCAATCAGGGCGCGGCGACCGCAGCGACGCTTGTGTTCGCTCTTGGGGCTAATAATATTGCATTGTAACCGGGGTAGAATTTGAAAGTGTTCATTGCCATTGCAACCGGACCCGTACTGCTATGGAGGGCGGTTTCGCGCTAGAGCGCGGCGCCACTAGTACTGCTCGGGCGCCCTCTGGGCAGCCGAACACGACCCTAGACGGGATATGACGGGTAGCCGCGTTGTCTACCTAAACCTGCAACAATTAAATGTGAAGGAAGTATCGAAAAGCTTCTAAAGATAAACCTACAGGGTAAGGAAAGAGGGAAATATGTCGGCGAGATGTGAGATTATCGGAAACCAGAGTGTGAAGCTCAGGCAGAATTATCCCTGAGTCGGTGATCGTATATAGTTTCGTCGACGTCGCGCACTGTCCTTCGTGAAGTGTCGGGGAACTCCCACCTGCGGCCGCCTGAAAAGATTGTGGAGCATGATGCATTGTCCGTTTTCTTGCACCAATATCTCTCCTTACTTTCCCTTGAAGGGGTACGGAAACGAAATTCCAGTGCTTATATTTGTAGCTTTAATGTGTTGCATGTTGCGGCATAACGTCAAAAATACGTCTTTTTTTCTGAAAGGCACAAGAAAACTAATTTTAAAGCTAATTAAACGATCTTTTAATGTGCACCTGGTGGATGCATGTGGAGCCTATTTGGGAGGTGATCTAGCAACATTGGAGAACTTTCTGCGTAGTCATGACGTAACAAGTTCCATTGGAGCAGCGCCGCCCTTTGGAATTCAACATTTTCGTTCATAGCTTTCCCCCTCACAGTTCAAGAAGACGTAAAGCTGGGTCTCTGCTCTTTCTTGGACCCTCGTTTCTGTACCCGGACACAGCCATTCTCCCCCTAGAAGATTAGTCCGTCACTCAAAATTGGGCAAAAGTTGCTTTTCCCATCCCGTTCACCCCTTAGTTGACAGTGTTGTTGAAGCTAGACTTCGTTTCAGCTTCGGTCCAGACGCAGCCAGAGCTACAAGCGCGAGCTCCGGGCTTTCAGCATCCCTGCCAAACACGCGCGCTCGTGCAGTGCAAGCACTGTTCTGGGCCACATGCTCGCGCTTGTAGTATCAGCTGCGTCTGGACCGAAGCTGAAACGAAGTATACGTGCTCCTTCGGCCATTCAAATGCTCGTCATCCACTGGCACTTCGAACGGCTCGGTTGTAACGCGTTGACGCTTTTGACACCATCACAACGCTGACGACGCCACCAACGGCAGAGCTCATAACCACGCCAGCCTTGCTACGTCACGAATGCGAGGAATCTTTTTTTGTTTTTGTTTTTGTTTGCGCGGGATATCCCATGACGCATCGCGGTCTTATATCGCTTCTTTTTGAGCGCTTGCTCATGTGCACCGTTTGGAACGAAACATGTAGCCAGTCGCTCAAAATACAAACGTGCGATTATAATTTACGGTTATTGTTTGTCATGGTCGACTCATTTCCAAAGGAAATCAAATATTTAAATTTTCGTTTCCCTTAAGCCGAGTACGCGCGGATATGCAAAACAGTTGCAAATTAAACGTGCCAATTTCTTTACGATCGCTTGCCCTCGACGATTTACCGTTCCTTCTGTTTGTACTCGAAAGGCTTTCCTGACTTGCTTGACGCCACAGCAGCCATTTTCGAGCTCAGGATAAAGTTATATATTACTAAATGTGATCCTTAATAAATTTTTTTTTCATTTGCACACCAGGTTTTCTCCTGCTGGGAACATAAGCCTGAATTCCGTAACGAGAGAGTGAAATGGGGAGGGGGGGGGGGATACTCTCAGTGGGCGCAAGCTCTGGGTATCGTTGAAACATGAGCGAGTTGGTTGTGAATTGTGAAATTAAAAACAGCACAAAGACGGACGAAGGGCGAGCAGATGAACACAGACTGAGCGCTGACTTACAAATGTTATTCCAATGAAATAACCTAACTTTTGCAAGTCTGTCTCCATCTGCACGTCCTTCGTCAGTCTTCGAACCGTATTTAATTTCACAAGCTGTGACTGTTGCTAATTACAAGTTATAACTAGCAGGCATCTACTGTTAGTGTCAAGTGGCCGGTCGTTGCTAAGTAAATGTTCTAACCAATACGCCCATGCTGTTGGGGACAATCTTACTTCGCCAGTCTACGCTCGTGGTGAACATTTGCTGGCCCAGCGGCTTAATTATTGCATGATTAGTATATCAGCGTATTGGATATTTCAATTTGCAATCACTCTTAGTGTAAACGCCGTGGTTACATCAACTAGAGGTAACTAAAGAATTGAAAAATCATCGTTATGTGGTATGGTTTTGAAGTTTGAAGAAAACCTAGAACCTACGTCAGCCTTAAAATTTATTATAGTTACCATAGGATGTTTCTGCTTATGCTTTAAGGATTCTTCAATTTTCTGGAGGCGTCTATGGCGACTCACGGAGAAGATGACCTGGTGGTTTTCTTCAATGGGCCCCAGGCTATAGTCGTAACGGTAACACCGGCAGCAGTTGAGGTGAGTAATAATATCCACCGCACGTTTAATAGCAATCAGGTTAAAAGTATACACTAGTCGTGATCGAGCTCGAGTCTGAGCAATAAAAATATTAACCACTCAGTGATATTTTGTGGACCAGCTGTAGAGCAAAATTATAATCATAATTCACTATTAATGCAGTAATATAATCACTACTACGCAATTTTTTAAATGCAATTTCAGGTGTATTCTTGATGTAGCGCTACCGGCACTTGAAGGAGCCGCCTAAAATGGAAACTTTTATAGTTACTGACAAGGTGAGAACGGCAGGAAGGAGCTTCAGTTCAACACCTCGACTGTCTCGAAGTGTCTCGAGGTGTCTCGAGGTGTCTCGAGGTGTCTCGAGGTGTCTCGAAGTGTCTCGAGGTGTCTCGAAGTGTCTCTTGGTGCACGGGACACTTCGGCGACTCAGGACCTCGAGTGTGCGCGCGCAGCCCGCGCAGCCGGTCCTTAGCGCGGGCTGAGGACCGGGGGTTGGACAAACACGCCCTGCCCTTTTTTTTGGTTGTGTAACCCAAGTTGTAAATTTGGAACACCTGCCGGACGAAGCAGTTTGTAAAAAGCGGCAATATTTGGAAGCGAATTAACTAGTGAAATCAATAGTTAGCGCACGCTACAAAACAGAGACTCTCGCAAAATGTGCACATAGTGTAAAAAAAAAAAAAAGAGCTTCCATTGCAGTAAAAAAAAAAAGGTTTATTTGAGGGTGTCTGAAATAGCCAGACTCGATATAGCGCTCTTGGTGCGGACGGGTTTCGTCAGCCTGTCGTATACATTCTTCCGCTTTTCGGCTACATCTTCCAACGCTGCTCCCGGCGCCACCTATCAATACGTGCGGAAAAAGCGCCCGCCACACGACTCAGTCGTCTGCGTCGCCGTTGACCATGGCAAGTTGTTTGGTCCAATATTTTTACAGAAAGGGAGCTACGCTTCGTAATTTCGCATGATAAAGCTGACCTCTGGAATACACTTTTGACGAAACTTGTAGATTGCGAAGTGTAAGCGCCGATTTATACCGCCAATTCTAGATAGATCCTTGGTATTTTGGACACCCTAGCTAGCGTTGAAACCATAGCAGGAGTTCTTAAAGTGACCTTGCAACTATTTTCGGATTTTGGCTCATTAATTGGGGAGTTGACCTCTGTCTGAACGAAGAAAACACCATTCACAGTTACGTGCACAAAGTTTTTTTTTTTTTTTAAAAAGAATGAACACTCCCAAAGTAGAACCACGAAAAACTGGACATTGACCATGGTCAAACGTATATAGACCCCCATGAATAATACTTTCGTGACACAAAAAAGTTAAGAAACAGTTATTTGTACATAATCCACATATAAAAGAACTGCTCCGGATGGCTTAATGTTACGGAATGGCACGGTTGTGCGCGATTGATATGAATTTCGTCAAAAATTTCAGAAACGCAATGTAAATATCTTTTTCTGAATAAACAATGTCTCGTTTTAAACCTCCAGGCTCTCGTGAACAGCAGCAACAACATCAACAAGCCATTCATTTACCACTTCATGGAGCCTGCAATGGGGAAGGGTTTGATAGTCAGGTAAAATACTCTTCCAGTATACCTCCATTGAGTTAGAATTAATGCACGCTAAACTGCCACCATTTAATGTCACGTTTCTAGAGCTCACAGACAAGAAATAATACATGTACACGTGACGAGACAAACAGTGGGAGGAATTCTGGAGCATAACGAGCACGTACCACGTTCCATGCGGCGGCGTGTGCTTCATCCGCGTTCCGCAACTTCTAGCCTTGTACCTGTTCTACGAGTGGTGACTTTAGTGCACTGCTACGCTTCTCACGCGCTCAAAGTCTTTCTGAAGTTTACTGATATAGTAGTTTTCGAGGTCGCTTAGCAAGTTTCTAATTGGAACCATATGTCTATTTTCATTATTTAGAAATTTAATTAACGAATTTTAATTAATTAACTGACTCGTCTCTACGACTAGCCCCCTATACTATGCCACCCTGGCCGTAGAAATCACCTGCACAAACCGTATAAGTGTAGCTTTCATGACTTTTTTTTAAAACAAACCTGCAAGTATAAAAAAAAATCTATATATACATATATAGGCAGAAGGAAGTTGCGCAGACACAGCAGCCGTAGGACGATAAAAAATAAAAATATCATTCAATGGGGAAAAAAGTCGCACAAGAAATGTGGAAAGTGCCGAAAAAAGTTGTATTACTTAACAAGAATAATCAAGGCTAGGCACAAGAACGCTAGTTACGCGGGGAAAAAAAAAACTGGAAAAAGGACGGAAGAAAAGTCAAAGTTAAAAAAACAAGAACTTACAAAAATAAATTCTGAAATGGAAAAAAAAATAAAAAGGTAAGAAAGGGGCTTGACGCCTGTCTTCGTCAGAACGGGCCACAGTGCCACTGTCGACACGTCGACGGACGTCTAGCCCCTTTCTTATTTTTATTAATTTTTTTATTCTTGATTTTTTTTTTCTGTTTAACAATTTATTTTTGTAAGTTCTTGTGCTTAACTTTGACTTTTATTCCGTCGTTTTTTAAGTTTTTGTTTTCCCCCGCGTAACCAGCGGTCTTGTGGCTAGCTAGCCTTAATTATTCTTGTAAACTACTACAACTTTTTTTCGGCACTTCCCACTTTTCTTGTGTGACTTTATATACATATTGTTGCTGTTACACTTCATTAAGATAAGGATGGCGCGACGGCCTGGAGGGTACGGTTTACAGGGGGGGGGGGGGGGGTTAAAGAAACGATAATTAAGGTTATATATTTATATATATGTATATAGTATATATAATATAGTATAGTATATATAATTAAAAAACGACTTCTTTAGTGCTACGCGAATCCCGTCTTCACTAAATGTTTCTTGAGCTTGGCGGACAATCGAGGGGTGAAACATCGTCACAGTCTGGCGATTAATTTAGTAAGAGTTGTTGATTAACTTTTCAATGAGTGAAAATAGACATATATGGTTCCAATTAGAAACGTAGTAAGCGTACTCCAAAACCACTGAATAATTTTTGTTAGAAATACTTTGAAAAACATGAGAAGCGTATAGTGGTACAAATGCTTCCGTTGATATATAGGCAAAAGTAAGGTGCGCAGGCACAGCAGCCATGGGATGATAAAAATAAAAAAAAACCAAGTTAATGGCGAATAAAAAAAAGTCACACAAAAAATAGGTATAAGTTGCCAAAAAAACGTTGTATTAGTTAAATAGAAGAAGTAAAGCTAGACACAAGACCACTAGATACGCGGAGACTACACTCAAAATGACAGAATGAAAGTAAAAGTTAAACACTAGAGCTTACAAAATTAAGTTGTTAAATATAAAATAGAATAAATAATAAAAAATAAAAATAAAAATAAGAAAGGGGCCCGACGGCTGTTTTGCTTCGACAGTGGCACTGTCTTCTTCAGGTCTTAAGCGCACATGGCGCAGTCGGTTGGTTTTATAGAACAACTGATGTTTACAAACAAACCGGAGCGCCCCTAGCGGACGCCACCGGCGCCGTGCATGCGCGATGTCGGCAAGAGGCTCGCCGTCGTTCACGAACAAACCAGTGGAATGAGATACTGTGGCTGTCGACGTGTCCCAGTGCTCTTTTTCGCGCTGGAATTGTTGACTCAACGATTTCCTCGCAATGTCTCACTACTTTAGCGTCCTCAGCGAAATTAACGAGGCTCGTTACTCCCCATACCGCGTAAATAATGCGATATGCGGCGATTCATTCCGCGCGGACGCCGCAGAATGGACGCTAAAGCCTGATCCGAATGATGAGATTCTGCTCACCATGTTCAGTCACGACGCCGCTCGTACTGCTTGAAATTGAAATCAAACTTGGAATTTCCCTTGGCGGTAAAAAGTCCTCTGGGGTGACCGAGGAAAAAGTCGGAAACGTTTCGAGACCTTCTCGAGACGCTTCCGGTTTTTTCCTCAATCGCTACACAAGACTTTTTACCACCAACGGCAGTCCCTGGTTTGAATTTGTTTACTCAGAAGTGCTTGTTTTCAGAGATGTAAGTTTCTCTTTCACTCTCTCTTATATATACATAATTATAGACTTCATGCTTATATTGCATTCTAATGGTAACTACGTTAATGTACATGCCATCGGGTGTAAATGCCGGGTGCTGTTTGTAGGACATTATCTGTTAGAAAGAGTTAAGCGCATGTTGCTGCTTTCTTATTCCCACTCCAGCGAAAAGAATGTGTGGAAACCAAGAAGAAAAACCATCAATCCAGCCTTCCATGCTCGCAACCTGGACTCTTATGTTCCCATTATGAGTCGAAGACTGGAACGTTTCGCAAGAAAACTTGAAGGGATTAATGATTCTGCTTCCGGCTACTTCAATATTATGGCCCCGGTGAGGGCCGCAACATTTGGTGTCCTGATGGGTGAGATACTTTTTCACGCTTTCTAGAAGAACATTTTGAGAGCTTTTGAAGGAAAGAATGTCTAAAAGGGAACGCGACCGAACAGCACACGACAAAACAGCACCCGACAAAACAGCACGATCAAAACAGCAAGCGTCAAAACAGCACAGCGTCAAAACAGCACGGCGACAAAACAGCACGCATGAAAATAGCACGCGACAAAACAGCACGGCGTAAAAAACGGCACACCGACAGAGGAGCTCGTGCCAAAACAGCACGGCGTCAAAACAGCACAACGAAAAAACAGCACGCATGTAAAAAGGCTGTAATAGGTACCGTTTTATGAAAACAAAACAGAACGTAAAGAAAAAGGGTTGGTCATTGCATGGCATTATTTAACAGCTAGTGGGAAAAAAAACAAAAAAAAAAACGTACGCTGGCGGCGACGGGATTGCACGTGCATTTTTTTTTACTTCAAACGCTATATTTAGGGTTCAGCGTATTCGGGTTAAAGCGAATATAACCGGTAAAAGTACGCCGAATTAATTTTTCTACATTCAGGCTTAACTGAAAAAGTTCAGAATTTTCCAGAGCGTTTGGAGTTGTATGTGTGTTTGTGTGTGTGTGGGGGGGGGGGGGGGGGGAGGTGTGACTCATAACTACGTTTTTGTGTTTTCGGATAAATTCGAAAAACACCCGCCGGTAAAAGTTTTGCCTTTTCGGATGTATCTGACAAACTCTGAATTTGGATATGCCAATCCCTCCACCCGCCCCTTCCCCCCACACACTCACACACACACACACACAAATATATTTTACAATTAATGGTTTAATCAGCGCGTAGAGTAAATGTCCTGGGAAAATGCCACCACACATATCTTTCGAATTTCGGTCACGACAACAGGTCAATGTACTATCGGCTCAAGACAAAAATTACTGTTTATGTTTCTGGTTTGGGTCATACTATTTGTACCTGAGGGGAAGAAGAGGTTTTGTTTTTGTAACCGCGAAAGCTATGGACCATAGAAATTATATAATGTGAAAAAGAGGACAGTTAAAAACTTCTCTATTACATTCTTTTCCACCCTATCTCTTGCGGCCGCGCCGTAGGTTGATGGAATAGCATGGAATAAATACAGGCTTCCCAGCGACTACCTCCAGTAGGTTATTGATTTTAAAATATCGACGTTTATCGAAATAACACTTGTGTGCCACTTTTGTTCTAGGGCAAATTAGTATTGCCAGTAGTAATGGCAGCAACGCCAAATCCACCTGAAGAAAATATTATTTAATACAATCGCGTTTTTTTTGTTTTTTTTTGTCCAGCATACGTTTACATTTGGATATTGTTTGTTTATTTTTAATAAGAAACACTGCGAATTTGAGCTCCAAATTTCGGAGAATTTGGAATAAAAAATAAAAAAAAACTCCGATAAACTTCGAATTTTCGGCGAAAAATAAACTCTGAAAGCACCTTCCGAACTTGACGAAAACTAAACTCTGAAAACACAGCACCCTACTCATTACTGACCATATGACAACTTCCTTTCGCAGTTTTCAGTTTGTCTGCGAGATCGATTCAACTTTCAACATAAGCTTCGGGGGCGCAGGGGTCCTCAGGACGAAATCTGGGTTTTTCACCTGATAGAGGTTTGTGCCGAATTTTTCGTTAAAAGAAGAGAGTTTAATCGTGAAATCAAACAGCGAAAATCAAGAGCGTCCGTAAACGCCGCGCATTGTTTAACACCCCTAGCTTCCGTCTACTAGAGGAGAACATAAATACGAGTGTTTTATTGTCATTTCTGCCGTCAACGCAAATTTATCACCTCTCGCAGTCGTGAAAAGGGGGGAAAACGCACAGAGTACAATGCTTGCTAATTTCTCCATTTTGATATTTGCCTCTCCGACCGAAGTGGTACTGAAGCTCAGGCTCGTCCTGTGTACAAATACGAGCACACGACGATAATGTCAGATACGATAAGGCCCCAGTGCATTTTACAGGATAGGTCGCGTCGGCTGCCAAAGACGGCAACAAATAAGAAGACCAGTACGTGGTACTGAATATACATTTTACACAAGCGATTTTAATTATTGAATTTTCGCTAGTATACCGGTTTTCGTCAATAAACCTAATATAACTGAGAAGTTTCTGAGTCTACAAATATTCACCGCAACAAACCGAAAACTTTTGTTTGGAATAGAACCCGAAAAAAGTGCGCGGAATTTCAAATAATACAAACCGAAAACGCCGAACCCTAGTTATATTGTCAATGTCATGTTTTGACGCTGTGCTGTTTTATTGCTGGGCTGTTCTGACGCTGTGCTGTTTTGACGCCATGCTGTTTTGGCACGTGCCCTTCTGTCGCTGTGCCGTTTTGACGCTGTGCTGTTTTGTCGCGTGCTATTTTGACGCGTGCTGTTTTGTCGCCGTACTGTTTTGACGCTGTGCTGTTTTGACGCGTGCTGTTTTTACCGTGCTGTTTTCTCGGGTGCTGTTATGCCGTGTGTTGTTCTGTCATGGTGCCGGTATAAAAGAGTCCGCTTTTCTTTTCAAAGTTCAATAGCGAAAAGTTTTTTTTTTGGGGGCTCTCAGTTTTTTTGTTTGTTGGTTTGGTTTTCTTTTTACACATTTTACGACGTGCGGTGGATTCAATTCGATTTCAAAATCTTTTCATGGTCCCTTCAGTAACCTTGGGAGATTTAATATGGTGATTTGAAGGTCATATATAAAACGAGGATTACGAACCAACCAAACCAACCGATGTGCAGTGTTTGGTTGCATGAGGTGTAGTTCTTTTTACTTTCAGTGCAACCAAAGGAATCAAGCACTCTGTATTTTCTCTACACTCTGCGAACATATTATATCTACAAATTCAGACTCACATATATAGGCTATCCGGCACGCTTCAGTCAAATTATCGAGAGAAAGGTTCCTATGGTATGGGGTCTGATATATGCTATCATAATTGAAAATTTCATTATTATTCGGATGCTCTTCTAGAGTTATTTACCGCAGTTTAACTGAAGGGCGCATAGTAGTGTTTCATAATATGTCATGACATATGTAACTTAATTGCCAATAAGATTGAATATTTGCGGATTATTATATAATATATGAACCAATGCGGGCGGTAAAAAATTAACCCACTTGTTTTCTTGTTAATCAGAAACGGTGTTTGGAATCTCCGACATTGAAGACGAGGAGTTTGAAAAGAAAGGGCACATAAAACGAATGCAAATGTAAGTAGTAGCAGCACCTTCCCCATTCTTCGACATTAAATTCACTACATTACCATCTATGCGCATAATTGGGCGCATGCCTTGTTTCTATTTGTTTAGCTGATATAGCGACCACCGTCATTTCTTATTTGAATAACTAAAATAACCGTCTGATAACTCACTCCTACCGACAATTTCTTAAGGGGGGACACTGCCTACAAATTTATCTTTTGAACTACTCAAGTGACCGGAATGAAAATTTCAGGGGAAATTTAACCTCAGATGTAGGTGTACTGTGCCAACTTTGAGCTCTCTAGGACAAATTTGATATGCAAGAGAAGCTATTAGGCACCATTCTGGCTGCTAAAATAAAGTGTGGAATGTAGGACTTCGGGCTATCTAATTTTTATATCTCAAGTGTAAATATTTCATGAGGTTTTATTACTTCAAAATATGAGATGCACATCTGTCTTATGTAAAGTTTTGAAAACATAGTTTTTTTAATGAGGACTTCAATTTAAAATAAAATAAAGTAGATAGCGTGATTCCCCAGTAAATTTCAGTTCAGAAACATCTTGATTGTGGTATCAGAATAATTTTACGTTTAAACAAAATATTCCTTCGTATGAAATTTGGTTAAAAACTTGGAACTGAGACATTTGCATTCAAACCTTAAACTGATTTACTTTGTTACTGTCTCACAATGGGTTGAAAATATTTTATATCAACCGAACTGTTTGGCGTATACATATCACATTTAGAGGAAGGGTGTATAAATAGTTTCTGAAACCGAAAACCTCATAATAAAAAAAATATATTAAATTTTTTTTATTCAATTTAAGTTGACGTTTTTTCTTAAAGGTAATTTATGTTTTACATAAGATAATTATTCTGTCGGCTAGATTGTAGTGGGGCATTCACGGCTTGTACAAACTTCATAAATAAGTTAAGTAAAGGATGCGCTGCGTTTACTCCTTTTTGTATAATGCGTGTTCAGTCACTAGAAGCGTATAAACGAATTAATTTTAATGTGTCCTAACAAACAATGCGATCGAATACATCCCACGCCTCCCCTCCCTCCCCTCCCCCCAAAAAAAAAGAGTGGTTGTAAATTCCACTACCTCTTACAAAATATTTGAATATGTTTTTTTTTCATAGACTGGAAATGATTATAAAATAATGAGGCCCGCTGATGCTGTCAGAAATTACCACATCTCCTGACATTTTTTTCCCAGTTTCTGTGACGGATTTGTTTCCCGGATTTGCAACGTCGCTTACTGGTGGGACTTCATCTACGAACTAAGCAGCGAGGGCAAGAATCACCATAGAGTATCACGGATATTAAGAGACTATTGTCGCCAGGTACGTATTGAATCTTTGGTAAACACTTTCCTTCCATTTTTTGTTGATGATTACTATGGACGTTGCTATGTTGCACTCTTGCAACAGACAGGCTAATTAGAAAGAACGGACAGACAAATCACATAAAAAGACTTAACCTGGGAAATATAACCTTTTATTGGTTTTCTTAAGCGCTTATTGAAAAGTCAGAACCTCTGCTGGAACAATTTTATACTTGAACAGTCATGCTCCCGATTATAAATACTTGCTTTGATATTTTGAAATTTTAGTGTTTAAAGGCAACTGAATCTTTTCCATCACTAGAAGTAAACGGTTTAAGATATCGATGTATCTTTTACAAAGCGTTAATATATAAATCTATTTTAGTACTTGTATTTGCAGGTGCTGCCTGAGACATATACTGAACCTAGACTATTTTGAACCAAGTGTACAGCTTTTGTACGTATAAATACTCATGGAAGATCCATAGTTACTTACAAGCCAAAAAATAAACCTCAATCGTTTTTGACCATGTAATTTCAATCATGTCTCATAACCATAATCAGAAAAAATAAGGGAGTACTTATTTTTACATTTCATTTTTGCGTTGGGACCCAGGTAATTACGGCGCGCAAAGAAGAACTGATGGACAAGGGCCATGTCAGAAACTCCATGAGATCCTTCCTGGACATTCTTCTTCAAATGCACATGCAAGACGGAACGCTTACTGAGAGTGACATTCTGGACGAAACCGTTACAATAATTGGTGCTGTGAGTCTCCAATATCATCTATACACCTTGGTTCAGCTTGATTACCGTGACTCATTGAATTCTTAGATATTTGTCACCCTCTCCTTTAGCCTTACATGATCTGCTCTCTTTAGGGCCAATACATTAAGTGGTCTAAAAAGAGATCATTCGACTATAACGTGAAAAGGTCTGTTTCTCAGTTGAGTATTTCCGTGTGTTTGTGTGTGGTTGGGGGCTGGGGATTGTGATAATAAACAAGTTTCAAGTTCTTTGGACTATGAGTAAGTATATTACATAAATGCTTATAAACGCAGCACTTAAGGTATCAGAAATAATGTGTTGTTCCATAAATACATCATAACTCGTTCATCCAGCATTTAAAAAATATTTCCAGCCTTTTTAGGTATAGCCTTAATAGGGAATAATAATGTTTTATTAAACTTTAGTGTGCCACCTTGTACTTAAGTTTTTCCCAGCCTTATAATCCGGAATCTTTTTTATTGGAACGCTGACTTAGAAATCGAGACTTTAATATTTTGTCTTCCAATGGGTACTGCTGACGCAAATATTATTTCAAACATAACAGAAAAATAAATCAATTGTGTTTGGAGCGGAAACGAAATAGTGCATATTACCTCTAGTGCAATTACTTAAATAAAAAAAATATTGTAAAGACCCCCCAAAATTATTGTGCCCAAACTTATTCTTACCATGTCGGGCCTATTGACATATCCTCAACGGAAACTGAATGTTGATACTTACTATGCATGCCGCACTTCATACCTCCACCGAATGAACTGCTGACTAGTCCACAATGTTTTGCTCTTCAATGCAGGGATTTGACACAACCGCCTCGGCGGCCGCGTTTTGCCTGTACCTTCTCGGAAATCACCTGGAAGTTCAAGAAAAGTTGCACGAAGAACTAGATAGGGTTTTTGGAGATGATGTTGACCGTCCAGTAACATTGGATGACCTCAGGGATCTGCCGTACTTGGACTGCGTGATTAAGGTAATACGTCTATGAACTTCGAATCGCCTGAAAAGCTACATATGCACATTTGGAAGCATTTCAACTACCTAATATGTTACTCTTCTGGATGCTTTACAGGAAACGTTGCGGCTTTATCCCTCTGTTCCGGTCGTGGCGCGCTACATTGACGAGGACATGAAAATAGGCAAGTTTCAAGTAAATGTGGAGCCTATACGAAGCGCAAGTTTGCCCGGTTTTTTTCTCTCCATGGGTTGTGTTGACGTCAAAACTCCGAGCTCTCATTTGTTCTGAATCAAGGATAGTGGGTAGACCTCAGAGAAAGCTGCCTTGAGGTCTACTCACTATCCTTTCATCAAAGCCAATCAGAGCTCGGCGTTCTGACGTCACCCGAACCCCTGCAAAAATACAGACGAACTTGCGCTCCGCATAGTCAGTGATAGTGCCACTAAATAATCTACGCTTCAGAGTAACGACACTTGGAAATATAATGGCTTAAAATTATGGCTGCCAGTTATCTGAAGCTCTATCTGAAATCACAGGAAACACTTTTCCGTCCTCCACAAATGTTTAAACAGTTCGTAACAGAGCAAATCAATATTACATGAGCTTCCTAACACCAAATATAATGCTGAGGAAGTCACACTTTAGAATCAAGACGATCGGCAGTTGCGTCTGCTCTGCACAAGCCCCAAAATGGCGGCGCCCACAACAATGTCGGGGAACGGAGTGCCAATACTCTAAGCGCAGCTCATTTAGTGGCTCTACTCAGCGACAGCTTACAAAAAGCAGGCATGCCGAGTTCCAAGCATCTCATAATAGCTCCGGTTCTAATCCGACTTCGGCATTAGCCAATAAGAACGCTTTAGGTTCAATACTGAAGCGAGAAGCGCGAAAATGAGAAGTCAAACCTTGAGTTTGCTAAGCTGTAAGTGACTGCAGACACCACAGGCACTAATCGTTAATAATCTAGTACTACGGTGCCTGGAGCGTATCTCCCACTGGTGTGTTAATTAGCCCCCATATCTCGCCCATTCATTGAACGGAGTCCCGAAGTGGCAACAAATGACGTCACAGTAGCCGGAGAGTCATCTTGTCAGATGTCGCAATCCTGGCGACTGATCGTAGAAGTGCTGGCAAAAATACCGAGCGAACGCGAATGCCGCTGTCGTCGCGGCGTCCCGACTTCTAACTGCTGAAGCGTCTGTGGACTGTCACAATGGAGAGTGACGTGCGGCAGAACAGACGTCTGCCAGATCCACCACTGCTGCTGGGACACCGCCAGGATCGCGACCGGCGACAGCATGACACTCCTATGACGTCACCAGGTGGAAATCGAGAGACCACTTTTTTGGACGCTGTAATCACAACGGTCGTAGACGCCTTCCAAGCACTTTTCGCCTTCGTATGTGTGATGACATATGTATGTAATTATTATACTCCAGAAATTAGTGCGCATAATGATTCCACGTCGTGTTACCAGGTGAACAGCTTATTCCCAAGGGAACTACAGTAACGACGATGATCTACTTTCTGCAACGACACCAGAAGCTCTACGATGACCCGAACAGCTTCGTTCCTGAAAGATTCCAGGAAAACAATGGAAGACATCAATACGCCTTCATTCCGTTCTTTGGAGGGCAGAGGAACTGTATCGGTGAGTTGTGATGCCGTTATCATCATCTCCACTCTTTTCAAACTCAGATATTTTCAAATTGAAATCTCATGTTTCATGGACTCTGAAATTATTTTCACGCGTGCCACCAGCCCTAAAATTTTCGGTTCAAAGTTGCGCCTAGGAGTTTCTCAATATCAGACTCAGGTTCGTTAAATATTTTGTTACGAGCAAGTGCAAAGCCGTAAAAACACCCTCTAAAAAGTATGTTAAGTTCACGTATTTAACGGCTAATCACTGCGACCAATGGATTAATCGTTGTGAATGACGTACGATTAGAAAACGAGCATGATGTTTCACTTTCTGCTAGTCGCTAACCATATCACATTTTCAAATCTAATCAAATTCTAAACTTCGTAATTTACTTGATTCGTTTTCTATTCCTCGTGGTTGCCTATCTCCGTATTCTGCAGGAAAGTGAATTCAGACATTATTTTTTTTAGTGTCGGTACTTCTTGTGCACCTGCGGTACATACCTAGTTAGTTTTTTTATAATGTGGTAATTAAAAATTCTAGATATATCTTGCTATAAATATATAACTACGAAAAATGAATTTTCTTCACAACTTTTTTGAATATCCAGTAAATGACGAAGGGCTCCTATCTGAACAAAAAACCTCTAAACGTTGAAATCATGTGATAGCACGGTGTTCCAGATACATCCTGACAAACGGTACATCCATAGCAAAGCGGAAAGTGGGAAAACAATAATCTTTGGTATCGAATGTCTGGCTATCGAATGGGAAATTTTGAAACATGCAAAGTTCGGAGTGTATTTTCTTATGCATACATGAGTAGAGTTTACGATTGTGGTTTTCGAGGTCAGAAGGCTTTCAAATTTAATTAAAACTAAATACATTGCATGCTTGGTGATTACATCCTTAAATTAGTAAGCTGAAGACGGTATCTCACTTTACCTTGTGACCGTCGATATGCCACAATGCTTGTGGGTCTTTTAAAATCGTGGCGCGGTCATCTTCGTAGGGTAGATCTTTTTCAGTTTCGGTTTCTCAGCATTTTGAAGAATGTGGCGCTCTGCCAGTAGTTGAAATGCAGAAAATTCTTTATTTTCCTATTCCTCATCACCCAGCGTGAGGGAATGACTAGCCTTTCTTACCTCTGTCTTTTGCTTGATTTGGACAGAGAAGTGCTAGAGAACAAGTAACTAAAACGAGATTATAACCATAAAGAGAAAACAAGAAAGGGTACCTGTAGCAAACAAAAAATATTTACACTTTTAAAAGAAAAAAACAATCTGGCAAGGTCAATTAGGCAGTCACTTGCTTTAACCCCAGTAAATATTTTGAAGCAGCGATTTATTTAATCAGAATAATCTCGTTTGCCGGGTATGCTTGCCATGTATCCAATCCTTTTCTATATTTTAATATTTATATTTTTATTAACCTGCTTTAATTTGAAGATGCATAAGTGTTAAAAGACAAAACGGGACAGTGAAACCACTTTATGCATTGAATCTATTTACGGAGGTACTTTTAAGATTTACTATCTTCAACATCGTTCATTAAACAATTCAGAGTTTACATCTCAAGCAGTCAAAATACAATTTGCGTATATTTCCGGTGTATTTAACAATGTAAACTGAAACTTACGCGCATTTTATTTTGTTTACAGGTCAGAGGTTTGCGGTGCTAAAGGCAAAGGTGCTGGTCGCCCAGGTGATGAGGCGCTTCAAAATCGAATCGAAACTCCCGGAGAGTGAACTCCAGCTGGAGATTGGAATTGTTCTAAGGCCATCTCAGAATCTGGATGTGAAGCTCACTCGAAGGAACCGAACTTTGTGAAGAGAAGACGGACACCACAGTCAGATTTTGTTCGAAGATGAAATCTTTTTAATTTCCCAGTTCATCAAATAGGAATATAAAAAGAATTATGTTCTTTTTTTTTTTAGTTTTCGTGAGTAAGGAGCAGAAAAGAAGGCCGCTTTTCAAATGCAAAAACTTTTCTTGTACATAGAATTTTTAGGTTTTAGCTGCCACTGCAAGGAGATGTGTTTGGTTATTTACGACGTTATCTTTGAGTAAGTACTTGATCGCAGTTAGTGTAAATAAGAATAAATAAATTGTCAAAAGAAACTTTGAAATAGATGTTAAGCGTGTTTCATCAAGGTTGTGTTGTCAACAGCTGTGCGTAGCCTTTGGCTCTTATTTATTTACCCTGTGATTTAGAAAAACTATTAAACTTTTGTGTTAAGGCAGCGCAAAGTATGACCACACTAGTTTACGTTGAGGATGACTCACATAAACAGTGCGGCGCGACTGAATGCTTCCGGGTTTTAACGTGAATCATGGAGTACGGATATACGACCGCACGCCGGTACCATGCTCACCCTGATCGCAACGGGCCGGGGGTGAGGATTGAGCTCAGGATTTTTGTGTTCCGCTGCTCAAACTTCCGCTCCACGTGCTTCGAGCCGTGGTGCGTTAACGCTATATCATTGAAGCATAAATCTTGCACTTGCTTGGCAACTTATGCTGAAAGTTGCAACATGATAGCCGAACAACCATTAGTGAAGAATAGTGAAGACCAAAAGTGACAAAGGACAGCCAAACGATCAGCAGTGGAGCCTAACTTTGACACTTGTTTGACAAATTGGGGTGAAGAAGATACCCAGTCTCTAAACAAATAACTTCAATTCGACACTACCGTGGCTTCTTCGGGCTTTTTGAGTCCCTAAATTTATTGATTTAAGCCAAATCTCGATCAAAAGAACAATGCTACCATGGGCCACTTTTCCAAAAAGTTATTCTTTTAGTTGTTACATTTGGCATATATTTGTTTACTTATTTCTGTTCCGCAATGGTTCTAAAGGCATTTGATATGGCAAGAAATTGTAAAGTTTTCTTTATATCTGTACTCGCCAAAAACAAACAGAGAATGGTTTTAGGGTATAGCAATTTACGTACATAAAAAAAGGTCATGCAGTGGTAAGATGTTTACTGTAGAGAGCATCAAAGAAGGACTCCAACGCTGCATCATTAAAGCATCAACACGATGAGCAATAAGAACATAAATTATATTTGTTTGCGTGGGTTTAGTTGTGTTTTTTTTACTATCTACGTATATGTTTTCCCAGCCTATGATGGACGATAGACCAAGCTATAAACTGTCAGATCCAATCAGGAGTGGATTAGTATAGACGTGTTCGGCTGCCCTGAGCAGGGATTTTCCCAGGTTGAAATTAGGGGGGGGGGGGGTCCAAATTTAGGGGGGGGGGGCAGTGACAGCTACCCACTGCGGCTCAGGGAGAGCCGCAGAAACGTAGCAAGTGGAGACTTCCGAGCACCGGATTATTGCTTTATACTCAACGAGATTAGAGTAATTTACAATACTAACGCCGACGATCGAACCACAATTGGCGAGAAGCGCGAACGTAATAGAGAACGCCATGCGCTTTTTGAGCTGCCACATGCCAAAGTCAATAATAGCTTTTTTTAAGCTATTATTGACTTTGGTATGTGGCAGCTCAAAAAGCGCATGGCGTTGTCTATTAGGGTATCTCGCAGAGTATCGCGAGTTTCAAATATCTTAATTAATACCGTTCTCAAACCAACTGAACTGCGGCATTAACCAATAAGACCGTCGATGAACGAACCAGAAAGCGAGAAGTGTTAGAAGCGTAAACCGTGCCCAGCATTTTTTAAGTTTCCTGACTTTAGTCAACGCGTAACTGTGGCAAGCAATCATGACTGAACGTGGCAAGTTGCCACGAATCAGCAATCGGAGAAAAGGTTTCTTTCCGTACACGGGAGCAAGAACCACTTATAATCACAAACAGCAAAAAAAGAAAAAAAGAGAGGGGCGTCTTTTTTTATGTTTATGATTCTTTTATCGGTGTTCTCATTGGTGCGGAGTAATAATTAAAAAAAAAAAGCGCCGAGGGCTCAAAGCACGTGGCGTTTATTAAGGTGTCCGTGCACTATATCGATAAGCAGCCACGATTGCTAACGACACAAAAAGAGTTCTTGTGGAGAAGGCCTTTTCACACGTTTGATTTCTTGTCAGTGGGTTCACATTACATTCGCGGCTGCAAGTTGTGAATTACCCTGTTTTCTGCTATACGGAATCTTTATTACACACACAAAAAAGGAGGTAAGGAAAACCTCGCTAATTTTTACCTACGAATTGTGGAATGACGTTTCTGACGATCGGGTTGAATGCAAACAGCACTATATTGTCACCGACAGCGATAAGAACACCGATGAAGAAACCACGAAGCAAGAATTGTGAAGATATAATGATCGTCGTTTTCCTTTATCTATAAAAACAATGACAATTCTTGGAAAGAAAGTTACCAATGATATTATGTTTTCGATCTTAGGGTATCAAAAAACAAAAGTTTGTATAATCATTGCCAGGATTATATTATTATTTCGAGTTTTGAAAAAGGAAGTCCTGTATGAATAGCCGTTTGAACTTCCGAACGCGTGAGAAACTGTTGATAAGCGTTATAAAAGTAATTGTATTAATAAACCGTGTATGACAGCTGTTAACTTTGTTGTTCTATACTCATAATTACACCCTTTAGCCGATGCTATATACGAGGTTTCTCTTCAAAGTTGCATTTACCTAAACATAAATGTGCGCAAAGTTACAAAAAGAGTTTCCAAAGACACCGGTTTTCAGTTTCGTCGAAAATGTTGAAATGATTGCTCATAAATTTGTAACCCAATTATTCTAAGCAAGACAGAGCAGATATAAAAATATAAAACTGCAAATGTCAAGTTTTGCTTGAATGAGAGGCAACCAGAATTAGGCGCAAGAATCTTGCGCCGCGTGAACTGCTTTCCATTTCACAGTATGTGAAAATTTGCCAGAGTGTCGAATGGTTCGTCCCAATTTCAAGACACAAAAATCCTAGAGTGCAAAACGATTGAATAGAGCAACAAACATTCGGGCATCCATAATTGTGCCCTTTCACGTGTAACGAGAATCACTCACAGCAAAAAGACATACTAAAAAAAGCACAAGAAAACCGAAGTTCATGAGGGCACTTCTAATATTAGCGAATGACTTTCGTCCGACCTTGAACCTGTTTTCTCGGTAGGCTGCATATGTTTATCACATCAGCGTTCTCCCAACAAGATTATTCAAGGGCATCTATTTACGACGCCCCATCCCAAAGTGGGGAATCCCAGAGACGCGACAGGGCCGCATTACTTTCTAGCGGAGGCGACAGCATCGCCAATAGAAATGCTGGAAGGATGCTAGCAAAACTAGCGAGACAGAAAATATTTACTCAAAAAAGTAACTAGACGAGATTATAATCACAGGAGGCCCTCGAAGTTGCCTGCAGGTTCTTCAACTTTTCTCTCGCTTATGCTTTTCTTTTTTGCGTGTGTGTGATACGCTTTGATTTTCGCTCTGCTTGGTGCTGTGAAGATGGGCGCTCTTGACCAAATGCGGGGGTTTCAGAGGGCGCTTCTGGGCAGACTTTGTTGGAAGGCGGCTAGACAGGTATATATACATTCAAAGCAGTTGTCACCCTTCAGTCGCGAATGGACGTTCTGCATACTACTTTAGCTTCTCAGTGATTTAAACTAGGTGCTTTGTTATTTTTAGGCGATGCGGTGAACATCGATTGGCAGTAGTTACATTAGTGCAGATACTCAGAGACTCGGAAATTCATCTTATGATTCACCTAGAGTGATGTCTTCCCTTTTGGGTCAAATCTCTAGACCAGGCAGCTATTGAAACGAACTCGTCATCTTACTGAGCGTTCGAATGAATATCTCTGTAATTAAGTGGAAAGTCAGATAAGAATTTTTCCTCCGCCTTTGTGCTGACAGAAAGTCGTTAAACAAAAACGAGGCATGGATTCTGCGAAGATGTCAGCTTCACTTGACGCGGTACTCCGGCCAACCGTCGCGACATCGGTAGTGGCATGGCTGGTCGTGGGAACTGTTTCCCTGGTGCTCCTTCTTCCTGTTTTGAGGCTTTTGGCTCACTGGATACGCATGTACTGGGTCCTACGGCACATGAAGCGGCCGACGAGAGTGTGTCCAGGATACTGGTTTGTGCCGGAACTGATCGTGGTGCGATTCTGGATGGACACTCACTTGAGTATGGCTGCGAGTATGTATCCATTTACTCTCTCTTCCTCTCTCTAGCAGTTTGTGAGAAAGTAGGTATTCAACTAAATGCTCACACTGTGGTAAATTAGCGAAGCAAATGTGACCCACAAGTTGTTGCCTCAATATTTAGGTTGATTTCGTCAGATTGATGTTTGTTTATTTCGTGTTCCAGATATCGTTTTCTGCTTAAGTCAGAATACGTTCAGAAGTTTTCTTTTTTTTTTTTCGTAACACTTCGACAGAAGTATTTATTGCACGTTTGTATAAACACTATTCAGCTATTTATAATCAAAGAAAGATGCTTAACGAATGCAGACGGTTTTTGCGAAAGCATTTTTTTCAACCCACCACTCGAATCTAGGTACATTTGAATTGCATACCGATATGGAACGGCGTCGTTTTCCAACATTATTTGTTACACACGGGAAGCCACCAAGATGAGTGTATGAATTGCTGGCAGCTTTTAATGCAGATTTTTCGGGGCAAAAAACTAAGTTTGATTTGCAGTGTCTGGTAACCCTAAATCCAAATCAATCAGGACGTTGTATTCGGATGCTAACTCTGAAGTTCCCGCTACGTTTTCTAGCCTTTCGGTTTCTTGGGCGGCTGGGCGCCCGCAGCCTTAAATAATAGCGCTGAATCAAACCCAAAAGGGGAGTGCACTGGAGCTTAAGCTAACTAAGATTTTTCCTCCTGGAGTAATTATGTGC